CATTTCAGAGGGAGAATAAAGGAGAAGACATAGTGCGTATCGTCCAACAAAAGTAACATTTATTGAATAAAATGCGTACTTCCAATATCGCAGATAAAACAGAGATTGCACAAAACCAGATGGATCCAGCAATACAAATTGAAGAGCGCACTGAACGCCCGTTCGTCCGGCTCAGCTGAGGAAAAAGGAAGTGATGTCTGAAGCTCCACCCTACGTATATTACGTCTAACACGTGACTACATCAGGGGTCTGGAGCAACCGACGTCTCAAGAACTATTTAACAGTAAACTGCCCTTACGGGCAGGGCCCTCCTTACCATCTTGTCTTGAATTGTATTGTGTCTGTAATGGCTTCCTTATATTGTAAAGCGCTGCACAAACTGTTAGCGCTATATAAATCCTGTATGATAATAATAATAAAGGCTCTGATATACGTGCACTCAAAGTACCGTATATAACCAAATAACACCACAAAAAGGAAGAACAGGCAGGAGTGGAATTGTATGTCAGCAGGAGCACAGAAGAAGGGAAGTAAGACATATAATACACATATGATCTAAAAATAGAGACAAATCTAAATATAAAAATGGGTGTCAAATATGAACTATATAAAAAATATGAAGATAAAATAATAGAATATAAATAAATATATTTAAAAATATATATATATATATATGCTCCTACAAAAAAAAACCACAACTAATACAAGAAAACGCCATAAAAAGGTGTTCACTTAGCTCGGCACAATATTGTTATACATTTTTAGATATTCACTATATCCTTAGTGCTTAGTGCCTCTTCTTTACATTTACTGGCGCTGATCACTTACTGTTTTATGTAAAGATAAGTTTACTACATCAACAATGTCAGCTTGAAGAGAAGTTAACAACATCTGTTATTTTTATTCAATAGGCAGAAGAAGAAAACTCAATTATACATGTAATAGCCCATAGACTGGGGCACTAGGTTTATGTCCTGCCTTACAACGAAGGATTGACAATGTTATTATTGTGCACGCCCCTCACGTTAGCTCCTAGTGTAAAGTAGGGTATACACAGTCAGAATTTTCAACAAACAATACTGATTTTGGAACCATCCTTCGACTTTCTAATGGTTGATGGGGTCAAATCGATGATCAATTTGGACTGCAGTAATGAGCATTTTTCTTGATCGAATGAAATTCTAACAGTGAATGTGGTTTTTGTTTTGGGAAATGCCATTCATACCAAAATCAAATGTTACATAGAAATGGAAATCACACGAAATTTCAACAATAATTGCAAAGCCTCTGGTGGTAATATCGAACGTTCCGATGGGATTTTTCATAGGAACGTTCATTTAGGTTTGTATACCCTACTTAAGAATGACAGTAGTACTTGATGGACCCACCCTACTGGATCCCAGTAATAATATGCAGTGTATAATATGACGCTAATATAAAGGCTAATTTCAGGCACTATTAATTCAAAAGTAGCTTTAAATATCTAAAATAATATGGATCATTATAACAATAATAATAATAGTATACACCCACAGAGTGAGCCAACACTCTACATCTCTCTGCCTTTCTTCTTGACAACTGCTGAAAAGAAGCCCCACTCTGAAGGGAGTGCATTGTACAAGCTCATGGACTTGCATTGTGAGATGCAACAGCCATTGTGTAGCACTGGAGAACAGAAAGTATAGGCTGAGTATGTGCTAGACAATATAATTACCCCATGTACATATATACTTATGAACTCTACATAGAAACAAGATTAACATTAACAGGCATTTTAACTATGTGCATCTACACTATTACTGAAATGGCTTTATGAAGTCTAAAACAAATTGCTCTGAGGTAAAGCCATTGGACAGAAGAGGCATGCAAAAAGTCTCTTCTGCCAAAAACATCTTCCCTTTGCCCCTAGTGATTTTTCATTATCTGTACACTCCCTGCCGCATATGTACAGTGCAGTGTACACTTCTGATTCTTTACTGGCATTTTCCAGATGATAAAAATGTAGCTGGCTTCCAGGGACGAGGTTACATCATCAGTGGCCATCTAATGGCCAAAAAGAAATGACCTGGGACCTAGAAGAAGATGGCAATTGTAAGGGATGGAGGAACTACAATGAGTGCTGGAGTAGGGCACACTAGTAGGTTAGTGTGCCATAATATGCATACTTGCACATTATAGTAAGAGGTTCCCCCTCCTCACCCAACCAAATTAAGTTCCAGTTTGAGCTGACAACACACATTATTGAATATATGCTAAAATAGATTTACCTGGCTGCTGGGGTATAGAGGGTCACTGGCAGAAGGATGGTCCTTGTGCCCTGGGTGTATCATAGAACCCCTATCATCCTGGTAAACTACTGCTCATGGGACATCATCCTCCATGTAATAAGAGAGGGATCATTTTATTCTTACCTTGCAGTATCTGACTGTACGCACTTGGAATACTAATGCCAGATGTCTACTAATAAAACTGCTATGAAGCACACATACAGCAAACACAGATGAGTCACCATGGCACGGATATCCTAGCAACAGTGTGTAGTTTTGCTCCAGATGTGATTTAAATTCTGCAGATGTAAAGAACTGACTTTATATCAAGGTCAGCTTTCTAGCTGTACGTGGCTGAAAAAAAATCTTACTACTCTAGACGACAAGGAAATCTGGGTCTGTAGGGTAATTGCACACAGCCAGGTGACCTGCTTTCGAAGATTTAAGAAAGACGCAGAGAGAATAAACAGACTCGGACAGGTCAATATCGAACCTGAGCAGAGGGGTTCCACCACGGCTTTGGTGTATTAGCATAATCAATGCATCTGCTAATTTTTCTGTGAGGATTAACTTATATTTTACCGGTTCTTGCATTCCATGCATTGTTTTTAATAAGGC